CATTATTTTCCAAACTGACTAGTAAAAATTTCATTGGGCTTTATTCAAATAATTAAAAGCATTTAGAGGAAAAGTCTAACTTTTAACTAATTTGCATGGAGAATACCTTGAACCCTAATGATCAAATGTGTTTTTCATAGTATTCTGCAATAATTTTGAAGATCATTTTTCTGTCTGAAATACAAGAACTTTTCTGGTGAAGGTGCATCTGTTGCTAATCCATAGCTGCCTGCAGTGCCTGAAGCTGCAAAGTGTTGACCACAGATTTTAAAGTAATCACACAACAATACAGAAATATTGATTTATGTTATTTTGCTTCATTTCTTTCCTAACTACTTGACCGCAAAGGGTCAAATAGAGTCAGTTAGGTGCACTAACAAAATATCAGTACTAAATAATTTCTGCTCATCTCCCCTGGCGTCCCAGTGTGACCTTCAGCTGCTCATACATCTCCAAATGCTCATGACAACATAACACAAAGCAGTCAAATGGCATTCTGTTCATCTGTTCTAACACTTTTTATTTTTCATGTCTTATGAAGTAAATCTCCAATATCTTGCCACAACTTGGTATACATTTGAACTATCAGTTCTGTAACCAACCTAGCAATTGGTTCATCATCAACATACCATATTCAGACTGCTCTTGTTAACCAAATATTCTTCCAAACCATTGCTGCTTGCTTCACTATCAGATGTATTCTTGCCACAAAGTGTTAAGAGTTCAAAGGTCATCTGGATTCTTTCCACAAAAAATAAGCAAAGAATTTCTGATTTCTCTCTGAATTTCTGCAAGTGTTTTGTTCTTTCTTATACAGTTTGCTTGCCTGCAAAACAAACTTGTCAGAATACCACTTATCTGCTTCAGCATCAATTTGAACTGAAATTCATTTCTTTCACTAACCACATCTTAAACTGACCTTATTCTGTTAGTGAAACTGTCTCAGTCCAATTACAAATCCCTTACTAACAACTATTCTAATCACTTCAAGCATTTAAAAAATTATTCATTGGATTTAGTAGAGCCTTCAGATTACAAAAAATAATACTGCATTCCTTTTATTTTTTTTCCTTGATTATTACAATAAAAGGGGATAGTTATTTGAGGTTCTTTTCTGCTATCACACTTTTTTTTGCAGGTGGAAGTTTTGGAGTTTTCCAAATAATTACGTACGCTAAAAAGCAGCTTTCTGAAATGAGTATACAAATTTTATGTATTAATTTTAAAATAAACATTCTTACTGATGCTCCTAACCTTGTTACATCTAAAGGATCAGCTGTAGTTCCATATTCTCTTATCTCAACATTACTATTTCTTTCACTATTTACTTTTGACCATCCCACTTTGCCAGCAGGCTGCTGTGCACACATAAGGAATCACTGTATGCTTAAAAAACCAAAGTAAAACAAAGCCAGATTCTTAAGCTTACTTCCTTTTCATTATTATTATTAAGGACTACATTTAGCAGTCATGTTTGAAAGACTGAAATAGAACACTTTTTAAGATAAGATAATTTTTGTGGGGGATAACAGCTGAGACCTCATAGTATGAATTTCCAACAGCAGATCTATCTATACACCATAATGCAAAATTATACATGAAAAACTTACTGACACCAGCCCCTGCTGCCCTACGTTCAGTTAAGAGCATGTTGCTTTCTTTGATTGTAACACTCCTTTTTATGGGTTCTTAACTTTCTGCAAAGTTTAACGTTTTCAGAGAGAGACAGTGTGAACTGTAATGGCCCCAGAACAACCATTACAGCTGTCAGAGATATAAGTACTGTTAAACATTTAGCAAAAGTATTTACAAAATAGGATTAAAGAGACATTAGGATAGTCACTACAGACTATGGGGTGATTGAGCTACTCTCAAAAATCAAAGTCTTTCAATACTATGAAGTTGTCTGGTGATTAATGCTAAAATACATTCTTTTTTTAGTTTAATATTGTAATAACTACCTTTCTGTCTCTCGTGGAAGAGAGGAGAAACAGTAGGGGAAGATATAGCGCTGCTGGGAGCCTCTTCTGTGTGGTTTCTGGGATGTGGATTGTTTTATTGCCCCTTACTGTCATCACATTCATAATCTAATATTCCACCCATAAGAAATTAAGACATCTTCTTGCAAACACAAGTCACAATTTCTTCTAGACCCATTCACAGACGATAGAAAATTAGTTCCATATCACATTTATATTTTCATGTATGACTATGACATTTTTACACAGGCATAATGTCAGAAAATTAAACATGAACAAAATCAAATATTATTATCATTGGCAAGAAATGGTAAATGTGAGCAAGCAGCAGAATTGAAAATACCTCCTCAAGATCTCCTATGAGGGAATACACTTTGCCAAGAAAAATGTCACAGTCCGGAATACAGTTCAAAACTTTAGTTTAATTATTGTAACAAAAACATTTATTTTAGTTTACTCTGCTTTTACATAGGAGGAAAAAAACCACACATTGGATACTTTATCCTTCTACTGCGCCAGTTAATAAAACAGAAGAGCTTAGCATGATATTTGTATTGTAAATCCATGTCCAGAAATATCTGGAACTACCTAATAAAATAACCACTAAAAAAACGTTTGAATAAGCAGCTTTTGGAACAAGACTACACCTCTGTGTTCAAAACTACCTTCAGAAATCTTTAAATTACTAAGCAGCACAAGCCAAAGCCTATCTTTTAGTGTAATCACACAAAAGCCAGAAAGCGAACGTTTGCAATATTTGCTGTAAAGAGTATGTATAGGAAGGAAAATAAGAGACTGTAAGAAATGATTTTAAATTACCTCTATTTTCACTCCAAATGTTATAGTTAACATGCAATAACCTCAGGAAGGCATTGTCTTCCTGGTGTTTCTTAGTGTATCATACAACTGTGAATTAATCTAGGACTGACACAAAACAGTGTGTAATTGCATGTAATAATATAAAAGTTCTAGTATGGACAGTCATGAAGATAAGAGCAAAATTAAGAAATGCTCAGTAGAGTTTTTACAGTCATAAGTTGATCCAACTTTTCTCAGTTTCAACTTTAAGAGGCAATGCATAATCTGTAATTTATATAAATAAAATCACTGAGTTCAAACTACTATGTTTTCTGAAAGCTTCTTTTTGAAAGCACAGTCTCCCATGCCTGCACTCAGTTAATAGTGATCAGTTCCTTGATCAAAGCAGAACCATGTTTTTTTAAGTACTAGTACTGTTACTGGATAAGGATTATGCTGCATAAGAAATGCAGCATTGATGCCCTACTACAGTGTGAAGTGAAACATGCAGCTCAAACAAATGAGCAATAAAAATAATTGTTTAAAGGTTCTGAGTTTTATTCCAAAAATAGTTTGCCTCATTTTGACAGTGTGTATCACATAGCTTGGTGGAGTCAAATTTTTTCAGTATATAACAGCAAATGCTATGATGTATCTAGAAGATATTTATTCAGAATGCTTGGCCCCAGTGTATACTGCAACATGATTATTGAGTTCATCTATTTAATAGCACACTAAACGATGTAGGTAACAGATCAGTAATTCTTATTAAAACATTGCTATGGTGGACAAGAATTTTGTCATAGTCTGACATAAATTAACCAATATAAAGTAACATTCAGTCAGGCAACTTCTAAACTTAATTTTTTAAGAGGATATCAATTTTGAAAAATCTTAAACGTTTTGAGACATTTACTACAGTATATCAATATACTTTCTGCAAATCACTTATATAATGCAAAATAAAATTTAGTTGAGGTGATTAGCAATATGTCCTTTAATTGTGATACTGGAAATATAAGAGGAACATACTTTAAGTTACTTGGCAGTTATATAATAGTTCATGCAGCTGGCATTACCATACAAATTGGTCTGAAAATCTTTTTCATTAACCACTACAGTCCTACACATCAATATTAAAAAAAAAAAAAAAGCAGTAGTTGGTAGAGTAGGTCAGATACGTGTCTCTTGATCCACTCCAAAAGGGGTCAAATACCCAGTGAGCAGACAAAATTAAAGTCAGTAAGACTGGAAGATCCCAGTGGAGAGGAATTAATTTGACTCCCATTGTAACTTTCATTTGATAATTCAGAAGCATTTCAGGTCAATCATATTAATAGAGAGTAACTGAGTGAAAAGAAGCTAATGATGATCCAGAGCTAATTAGCATAACTATTTTCATTCCACCTCATATACAGAATCTGACTTTTTTGATCAATGATGGAAATTGGCAGATGACAAAAGGACGTCTGTGACAGTTCAGCAGTTTTTAGTGACAAGTCCAGACTTTATGATAAAAATCAAAAATATAAAAATGTATAGTAACGTAATAAACAAGATTTAAAAGGGAAGACCAAAGCAAACTTTGAACAATATGGCTATTGACAAATAACATTATATTAGTTGGTATTTCTTTTTAGGAAGCCTATCCTACTTCATTTCTCTTCTCATTTTTCACATCAGCAAAGTTTTCTGTAGATCTATGCAGTTCTGTCTCTCAAGGACAGAGAGGCTCAAAGATAATAAGAGTCACTGAATATGAGAAAAATTTTAATAAGAATCAAAAATGAGGTTACCTAGCTAAATGAATACAGTATCTGATATACTGGCATCTACAAAAAATAATCCAAGTCTTTTAAATTATTAATTCTTCACAAATGGGCCACAATTCAATCTTTAAATGGCTGTAGGTCAGTATGCTTTGCAGTTATCGTGATATACTTATTTTTCAACATTTCTTACCGTGTACGAAATTCTGTTCTTATCTATCTCAAACCTGCATTTGCTCAAATCTGGATACTTACACACAAGAAATTCAATTTGCAAACATATCCACTCATAGCCAAAAAAGATCTACATGTGTGCGCTAAGATTCAAGCACACAGTTGATTTACTTCAAACAAAACATCTTTTGATGTAAGTTTTAATGAGGCTTATTTCTAGCCTTATATCTGTTCACCTTGTCAACAAGTCTGAATATTACAAGAGATGCTTATACATTACCGTGTAATTAAACAACAGTCATGAATGATGCTGTCCTCCACAAATATGCCACTCTCTTCATCTGTTTCAACAAGTCGACCAGCATGGTACCAATGCACTTGGGTAGTTTTGTCAACATAGGTTGCAGTACACTGAAAGGGCAAGCGGTCTCCATGAAAAACCACTTGTCTCTGTGAGGGGATCAGCTCGAAAAGAGGAAGCTCCAGAGGTCCAGCTGCAGAGAAAGCCAACAAATGTAAAGAGAAAAAAAACTCTCAGAATTATTTTTTCCTCTTATGAATAAAGTGAACTAATTGCATACAATTCTAGCTTTCTAGATTTTATCATCAAAATACTAAGATAAAATATATGCCCACATACTATCCACTTGACTCTGACAATGATGTCAATCCTAGGAATCAGATCTTTTATTAACATGAGACCAGTGATTACAGGATTACTAGATTGTCTACAGAATGTGTTTCACAGAGTAGTTCACAGAACGGTTGAGATTGGAAAGGATATCTTGAGATCCTCCAGTCACTTTCTGCTCAGAGCAAAATGTTTACTGCAGAGCTATAGAGACAAAAATCAGTCTTCTGATTAAAGAAAAAGATACACCTATCAATTCAGGCACAATTAACATTTACAAGACACTTCACTGTCAGAGGATGAAATTGCCACTGAAAAATTCAGCCACTCCAGAGAGCCTAAACTATCTCATGTGCCTGGGATTTGGATACTGATAAGGCTAATAACAGATGGTAAACTTTGCTCTCAAGTTCAACCATTATTTCTTATTTCATTGTCCTTTCTTCCTTCTGCCTCTTCCGCAAGTCATCTTCATACTCTAGATGTTTACTCAAGATTAAATATTTATCTAAATCTCTATTTTACTATTTGATAGTGCAGTACATCACCTTTTTTTTTTTCTGAACTTACTTTCTCCTGTATTTCTCCCAGAAATACTCTTTCAGAATATTGCATATTCTTATTCTAATCAGAGTGTTATGAAAAACAATTGCTATCATCACCAAATTTGTAAAATCAATTAACAAAATAAAGGGCATTGAAAGTTTGGAAGGCATTATATTTCTTCCTTTCACTTTTAATTGCTAGATTTTGAAAGAATTGGTTTCTGTAAAATATTTTCTATGCTCTGTTCAATTAATATGATTTCTTTGAATTGACAGCAGATCATTGAAAAGGAGCATTCTAGGAAAGGTACTGAAACAGACAGCCCACATCTAAAGAGAGAATGAGAGATCATGATTTATAGGATAACAAGGAATAAAGGAAAAGCATATCTTCTCTTTTTCTGATATAGACTCTTTAAGTAGGAAAATTATCCCCTCTGATACTCTGCTATCATCATGTAAAAAATTCTAGCGGCAATAAAAATGCTAAGGATTCACATACTTGATTGTGGAAGATGCTACCACGGAGAACCTGTATGATAATTCCTAAAATATAACCTTTTCACTTCAGCCTACAATACCAAAAGAATTGAATGAATCTGGGTGACTTTTTAACTGTATTACTGCAATCTCATCTTAGCCACAATACCTGCCTACAGTTCTGCATCTTGGAATCCCCTCTAATTTGATGAGAAAACAGAATTTTTAAGCTATGCCTTCCTCCCCCTTATTTTTCTTCTGCTTTCATTTAAAGATGTCTCATCATTAATATCTACCCAGCCTACAGGGCTGTCAGTTGAAAGGTCACCCTTCCACATTTCCACCAGTAGTGAAAATCTCAACCATCTATTTTTCTGACAAATACTTTAACCTTTTTTTCCATTTCACTGCTTACAATCTTATCTTCAACTTCCTGCTTAAAATCCTCTGTTTCCTGTAACATATATACAGATGTACTTAACCAGAATGCAAGCCATAATCACTGGCTCTAGCACTGCTAAAAATCATAGACAACTGTTTTTTCCTCCTTTACTCAGCACCCCACTCTAACACACTTCTTTATATCATTCAGATATTGCCTTTAGAACAGTTAAATTGTGAGATGTTGCATTTATAAATACAACTTTGGGCTCTCATTACTCTGAGGGCATTTAAATGTTAAATAGCATGTTCATCACCTATTTTGAATAAACAGTGAGAGGGATCATTTCACTTTTTTCATAGAGAAGGAATGCTGGCCAGCATAATACGCAGGATTTGTGCATGAGTGAATTTGTGATATTGCTGCCTGGCAGTAGCACACAGAGGATTAAGGACTAACTGCTATCTACTAAAATGTTGTAAGCCTGCTGTAACTATAAAGGGCATGCTTCAGATATCACTCCTTATTTGTGCATATACCTCCTGCTGGTGCCTGCATGGATACATTACTACAATTTCCTTGAAACATACTTAATATTTTTATACGATGTTGGACTTCTAACTAGAAGAAGAGAATTTAAACCAGATTACTACTCCATTCATAACAGTTACAGGCTTGGTGATTTGCTTTAGACATTTTTACTTGAAGCCTGAGACTACCCCTGTCTCCAAAACAATACAATCTTTACTACGAAGTCAAGTATAGAATATAAGCAAAAGTTATTGTCTCCAGTCATAAATTAACAGACTGATCTGTTTATCCTGGTTACATTCAAATATCCCAAAACAAAGAAAATGAAAACAGAGTCCAGAAAATTAAACACACAGTCATAACTACAACAGCAACATACAGAACTCACAGGAATCAAATACTTTTCTTTAATTCATCTCTCATTTTTAACTTGACAGTATTGCATTATGTTAAAGATAAGTTGTTTTCTCAAGCAGTGAGTGATATGCTGTGTTATGAGGCTACAAATTAGTAAGTGCAAACTAACCTATCAGTATATCTTCAGTCAAACTATGTAAGTTGCCTGACAAAGGGATGTCATGTAACACTAACCACAAATTTATCTATGACATTATAGATGGTTATCACTTCTTTTGCCCAGCCCTGGGAGTCAGACCAAACTCAGAAATGGAGTACAGATGAACTATTTTATGCAGATTTTCAAAATTAACAGAAGCAAATTAAACTTTTCTTCAATGACATCAGTGATCTACTCATCTGCTCTTTCCTTACAAATCATACAAGTACCAACAAAGATGCAGAGTGAAGATAACATACTTTGGCTAATCATTAAGATAGAATATCTTTCTGACCGCTTGAATCCTTTTGGAATGTACATACTTTGTTTACACAAATTGACAAATAATGCTGAAAGCACATTTACAAAGTAAAACTTGTACAATTTCTATGGAAGGAAGGTGCATTTGAATATTTCTACAAAACATCTGCATGCCTATTGAAAAATGATTGCCAGAGTTAATCTTCTGTTATTCTAAAGGGGTAATCATCACTTAAGTGACTGGGGCTGATTCTGCAACTATTACTCATGCAAAAGTTCCAGCTGACTTCAGAGACAGCTCACAGAGATGAGGATTAATTGCACAAATATGAGTTTCAGGATTAGGGCCAATACCCTTTATCCTGAATGGCTATAAAACGACTGCATAGTTTCATCTGCATCTGTTGGAAATGCATAGTTATTTTAAATCCATAACTCTACATGTCTTAAAATTCATCATTAAAATAAAAGTATTTACGAATGCTGTAAATAAATTCTCAGACTTCAATGAGGATAAAGAAGTAAAAAAAGGCAGAGATTCTGAAAGTATTTGGAATGATTTTGGCATTGATTTGACAGCACTTTTGAAATATAACAGCTTTGGCAACAGAAATTTTCTTTGATTAGGAGATTAATGCCAACTAAGTATCTGTAAACTCTGAGGCTATTATGTATATGTAAATACAGATATAACTGTCTCGTAAGATTTAAAATAGTTTGCAGTTTTCTATTGTTGTTTTTGTTTTGTTTTGTTTTTTGGTTTTTGGTTTTTTTTGAGGGAAAGGATTAATTTACGGAGCTTTATTTATTTAATTAATTTTTCCAAGATTCTCTTTCCAAGATGATCCACTCTGCTGCCCTCAAGTCTGGAGTCAGCATCATCAGCAAATTAGAGGTGTGAATCTCCTATGGGCATTTAGACCAACGGCTGCTGAAGTGTTTTACAGTCTTCACCTGTCTTGTCTCTCCAGTCAGCACTGAACCGTGATTGCAGCAGAGCACCACAGGAATCACTGATTGCAGCATGAATCTAAAGGTCTAACCCATCATTACAGTAATTACACCTTTTTCTTTCTCTCATTCCTCAGCAGAAAAGGTTTTTGTTGACTGAAGGCCCTATTCTTTATGCTATCACATCTTGCATTTCAGATTAGCTCTAGACTAGACCACTGAAGGCATATGGAAGAGGAATCAGGTTGCACAGACACCACTGAATCTGAATTACCTAAGAATACTTCTCATAGAGACTACAACTGTGCACATTTTTACGCATGCGATGTCCCAACATATATAGAAAGTTGAAAAAGAAAATAGAAATGATTTTAATAACCATTAGCTAAAACAGAAGGATAACAAGCTATACCGAAGTTCTAAGGATATGTTTCAATGTGTATTTCTTTAGTAACTTTATAAAACAAATTTATGATGCACACACTTAGAATACTTCATGCTTTTTTTCCTCTCAATTCACATTTTGAAATTTTAATAATAGTTTAATTTTCCTTATAATTAGGTCCTTTTCTCTTCACTGTTTGAAAATATGGAAAGTGAAGGAATCACGGCTATCACTGGATGTACGTGGAAGACAAATGGTTCTACAGATAAAATGGAGATGTACAGTGCATCTCTAATCTTTGGTTACATTATATGATCACATTTGAATATGTACCTATAATGAATGGAAACCGTTTCCTGTTTTAATGATCAAAATTATGGAAACTCAAAAGCTGGCTCATGCAATAGGACTACATCAAAACTACAGAAAATTTGCTGGTCATTAAGCAGAATCACAGAATCACAGAATCACAGAATCGTAGGGGTTGGAAGGGACCTCCAGAGATCATCGAGTCCAACCCCCCTGCCAAAGCAGGATCCCTACACCAGGTCGCACAGGTAGGCGTCCAGGCGGGTCTTGAATATCTCCAGAGAAAGAGACTCCACAACCTCCCTGGGCAGCCTGTTCCAGTGCTCTGTCACCCTCACCGTAAAGAAGTTCTTGCACACATTGGTGCGGAACTTCCTATGCTCCAGCTTCTGGCCATTTCCCCTTGTCCCGTCTCCACACACTGCTGAAAAGAGTCTGGCCTCGCCACTTTGCCCCCCACACC